CTACTAGGAACCCGGGCATCGCTACTAGGAACAAGGACGCTGCACGTGTTTGGTTCATGTGAACAAGTCCTTTGGGATGTTCAAATGTGTTGAGTCATGGCAACCTGTGCCAATCAGGGATATTGGGTTCTAGATCTTGGCCTATGACTGTGGCGGCCTATGCCGATGTCTACATCGCAGCTTCTGTTTGTTCCCTTCTGCTCGCAGTTGAACCAAAAAGGGGAATAGACAACCTCCTTTCAATCATCACTGTCATGGAAGATTCATTCTGATCGTCATGTCACCAACCTCTTCTTCGGAATTCTTTGAACTATATATTATATTAGATTATATATCACCCACTCATCGGACGGTCTGTCAACCGCGACGACGACATGCCAGATGCTCTGATCTGGGCATGTAAAGAAAACCCCCTGTGCAAGGCCTCAGCCAGAACGAAATGGAACGCGCCACGATTCAATCGTGCGCCCCGAACCATTGCACAGAATTTGTGCAAAGTGAAAATGTGCATCAGCATGCATGAACGGAACTGCATTTACAATAGCGCTTTGTGGCAGCACTCGACCACATGATTTGACATGGGTCGCGGAGAAGCAACCTGGACAGAGCTGTACATTCTGATCTTTGAACAGAAATTGAAAAGCCTGTCTCAAAAGACACACGTGACCGAGTGCATCGTAAGGACGCTGTAATCGCCCTGGAGCCTATGGCCTTGAAAGTGAAAGAGAGCAGCCAACTCGCAAAAGGCAGTGGCGCAACCTTCCTCATGTCGCCATTGCAGTTGGCGGGCAAAGCAACAAATCGTGTGCCAGTCAGCCTTTGCGTGTCGCCAGCGGTCAGGAACCTTCAAATCAAGTGCAATCTTGGGCTTCCAGGGGAAGGCCCTTTTTGGTTCGTCCCACAGCCAGTTCGGAAACATTCTCTTCGCAGTAGGGAGGTCGAGGATGTCGTTTGTGGACGACCTTTCTGGCTCCTCTTCATGTACTGCGTGGGTGTCCAAATGACAGTGTAATTTGACCAGCCACTCTTGATATAGGGTGGAAGCCGCCTGTACCACTGGGATCATGTCCGGTTTGACGGGAGAGATGCGGAGTGCACAGCTCTTGGCAGCTCTGTCAGCTCTTCTGTTTAGTCGGACATGTTCAACGGTCGTATTGAAACCAGCAACTACCACAGGGTCCAAGAGTTCATCCGGAGTATCTTCGCAGACGTGTGCCGGTATCCAAGAAACAGTTAACGGGTTGGAACAGTCGTGCTGGCGTTGTGAGAGAACAGTTTGAATTGCATGCCACCAATCCAAACATTTCCAATGCTGTTTCACGTGTCCCGTGGTGATCAGGAAGTTGACATTGCGAACTACGGACCTGTTGTCACAGAAGATTTGAATCGCTGCTGAGGCCTGGCTGAAGGCGATCCACACCGCCCACAGTTCCGCCACGTAACTTGACAATCCCCAGCGCTGCACACGGCCTGTGAAAGTCACAGTACCTGCTTTATTAACAACGGCGAATGCAGCTGTCGTCAGCCAGAAGGAGGTAGACCACATAACTGAGCCGTCTGTCCATGCCTCAGTGGGTTCAGACGATGGATCAAAAGCACGGGCGTCACCGGGTTTGGCAATGGCCTGCTGGAGACGAAACTGAGTGAGCCGGAAAGGGTGCTCAACCAGACCTAACATTGGGAAGTTATTACCCAATTCGTGAAGGACTGGTTTCCTTGTGAGGCTGTGATAGGCATCACAAAAGAAAACTAGATGCTCAAGCGACTCTTTGGACTGCCCACAAAACCTACAATTGTCATTCTGGGACCAACCCGCGGCAAACAAGCGATCTTTGGTGATGGTGCATCCTACCATCATGGATTCACAGTGTGCCATAGCCGATGGGCCGCTGGGCGTTTGGAAAGTTGGCTTCCTAAGGAAAAGAGTGGAGGCGTGAAAATCAAGCAAACCTCCGAAACCAATTAAATCTTTCCGTGTGGCTTTGGTAGCCCATTCATAAGCCTTTTGTCGAGCGACCTGCTGCAACGTTTGGGCTACGTCGTGGGCAGTGGCATGCCCGAGAATCAGGGCAGCTGAGTCATGGTACCGAATGCCAGGGTGGCTTGTCATGGACAGTCCCATTGTCTGGCAAGCTGAGGCGAACCGTGCCAACACTGAATGTTTCTGACTCTGTCTCGAGGGCCAGAGGGCTATCAGTTGTTGGACGGCTAGCGGACTCTGGTGGCAGAACCGAAAAAGGTCCAAGATGCTGCAGTAGGCCTGGGCAAGCACGGGATCCGTACGGTGGGGGCGGCTATGAAACAGTTGTACCAGCCACTTTGACCGGGCCATGGGTCGACCCTGCCACAAGGCCTTGAGAACAGCACTTTGAGTTTTCCGCATTGACACTTTCGGAATCCTAGACACATGAGCACCATAAGTGATGGTGGGAATCGCTTTAGCCCCAATAAGAAAGGACTTAACTGGCATGGATAAAGGGAGGGCACCTATGCATTCAATTGTATGGCACACCTTAGCCAATGTGGCCTCCGGAAAATTGCAGTCATCTCTCTGGGAAGTGTAAACCCTTACCCCAAGTGCCTCGAAAGAGAGCGTCATCTGCATCTCTGGGAAGGTCTGTTGTACGACTTTGCGGCCGGCTGTCGTGGTGCTCCAAATGACCGACTTGCTATCATTTAGCTTTTGACCACTCAAAGTGTCCCACAGCTTGGTGATCTGAATCGCCTGATCGAGAATGGAAGCGTGAATCAGTCTACACCACAAGTAGGCGTCATCCACATATGCCTTCATCGTCACCTCAGGCAGGTGTTCCAAAAGGTGCACTCAGACTTTGGTTTGCACGTTGACTGCAATGAGTGACAGTGGAGCAACCTTGTGCCACCCCGTTGGAGCTGGTGGTTGAAGTGGGATTGACCCAACCTTTATAGCTAATGCGTCGGTGCAGTCCCTTGTACATTTTGGTGAAGAAGTTGACAAACCCCTTCGGGAGGCCAAAAGCGAGAAACAAAGCGCTTGTATGAGCCGGAATAATCCTATCGAAACATTTGGCTTTAAATCAAGCTTCATACCTATTAAACTCTGATTCCGAGTAATGGCCTGGTCAATATCAAGTCGAAGAGCAGTGTGAAGCATCGGCATTGTCCTGCCCCTGATGCCTCCGACAATGCAGGGGGGCATTGTGCGATGCTGCCAGGACTGCAACTGGTCATACCGTGCACCAGTGTAAGCAAGGATCAAAGCAGGAAGGATCGTGATGACCCTGTTGTTCATGGCGTGGGAAGGACCTGGTTTGTGGAAAATGACTTGCTTGGTGCATGTCAACATCTTGGGGAGATCCGTACCGAATTGGTCTTCGGCCCACTCAAAGAAGCTAACAACCGGGACAAAGGCTTCAATGGGAAGGGCCTGTAGTTCTTGTGTCCTCCATCCATCGAGTCCGGGTGCGGCATGTGGTATCCGTTTTTGGATTGTACGGAAAAGGGCCTTGGCATCAATTGGAGGAAGGGTGGCCTCATGTGTGTGGTGCTGAACATAAGGCCAGATTGTTTCTAACATCTTCAGAGGATGAGCATGCTCCGTGTTGACCCCATATACGGAGTCCCACTTGTCGTTGAGACAGGTCAAAACCTGATCCGGTTGATAGATGATGTTGCCACTATCATCTTGGATGAGATTAGGGGGTTCGTCAACGAGTTTATTCCGAAGATGTTGAAACACATAGTTGCAGCCAGTTTGGGCTGATTGCTGAATACGGTTTTTCCAGCGGCTGATTCTCGAGCTCTTGACGGCTTTGGCATGTTCCTGAATGGCATGGACTACCCAAACCTTGGCTTGTTGAATATGGACCAGGGTAACCTGGGAGAGTGGGGGCCACCCCACCGGTGCACTAGCCTCCGTAAGGCCATGGGCCACCTTGGAGCAAGTCTGGCGGAAGACAAACCAATCATGATCACTTCTCGAGCCCCTTGAACGGCGGACAAACAACTCATCAAGCCGAGATTGGAGTTTGAAAAGGAGTGAACTGAATCTCGTTGCAGCACAGTGATTGGAGTGCTGTGCCGGACAAAATTGCCTTCGGACAAACTTGGGTGGCTCAGCTCTTGTGTGGGGCCCATCACCCCAGGTAGCCCCCTGGTTAAGAAGCATTTGAATGCAAAACCGGTTGACAAGCGACCACTTCTGATCAGGATCGTGCGTTTGGTTAGGTTAAAACCAGGTTTCCAATATGTTTCCCATTCAGGAGAGACGGGATCCGGACTGTCTTCAGCACCACAAGACTTCTTGGGTTGGCATTCTTTTGGGATGCCACTAAATTCAAAAGGAGCGGCCTTGAACAGGGTAAAGCCAACCTGTGACAGGACTTCCCAGTTGAAGGAGCAACGAATGGGTCTGTGTTGCCGCCCAAGAGTTGGAACAACTTCACATGAGTGCAAAGCAAGAAAAGCCTGTTGGTTCAAAAGAACTGCGTCGATGGAGGAGCAAGCATCACCCGGTCCACTAAAGAGGCTATCCCTGGAGTAAGTGAGTGGGCGAACAATGTCCCCCTGATCATCCACAATGTTCAAGGGGTCCTGCCAGTTATGGAAATGAATGGCGTCCGAAATTGCCGGATAGGACAAAGGGTTGGCCTGAAGGTCCCCTGCAATGATGACAGGGATGGAGCCGAATTGGGACATGAAAACAAAAAGGTCACGGAAAAGGGTGTTGTTCTCGGCATGGGCTTGGTTGTCCTGTGACGCCCCCGTAGTGGCATAAACGGAACAAATCAAGGCCTTCCTTCGAGGTTGAATTTGAACCCAGGCACAAACAACTCTTTTGGAGGCGAAGAGTCCGGGGTACAGACCGGTTTGATCATGGCGGGGGTCGAAAGGGCAAGTAGCCTCACGAGGACCGAGGACCGCCACACCCCCACACGGAGTCTGTGCTTTTCCCGTCCTTTGTATGAACCCAGGCAAGAGCTGACCAAAAACAGGTTCGAAACCAGCGTGATTGGCAGTAATGGTGGCAGTCTTGATATTGTTTTTGCCAACACGAGTCTCTTGCAGGCATGTGATATGGGAGTCCCAAGCGGACCAATCAGTGTTGGTTTGAAGAGAACCCACGTTATTGGATGTCAAAATCATGCGAGAAGGCAAAGGTCCCTCCCCGGGGTACCCTAAGGTCTGATCGAAAGAGAGGTGGCCAAAATGGCTGGAAGCTATACAAGATCCTCTAAAGATGACCAAGAAAGGCAGTTCCAAAATGACGGCGGTTGCACAAAAATATCGATGACACACTCCCTTGGGGAAGTCAGGCCGAGATCTTTTTCTACCGAGCGTTGTGAGTGGCAAGTTACCACTGCGTGACTGGGCTTGAGGCGTTCGAATTGGATCGTCTCCTACAAAGTGCCGCATCTCTGGATCACCCCCTTGGCACGAACCGACAAAGTGTGCCCACACAAGGAAAGAGAACGAAGTCCATCGGAAAATCCAAAAGATCATATGGACGCCAGCACAGCGGAGGAGGCGGAAGTCAAAAAGAGCAGAGGTGGTTGCACCTGCTGCATGAAAAGGAGACATGGAGAAGGCTCTGCAAGTCCAAGACAGCAAAGTCCAAAATCCACAAAGGATTATGACGTAAAATAGCAGATAAGACAGGGGCCTCTTAAGCTCGCTTAAAGCTCGCCCAAAACTCGTTTTCAAGCTCGCTTAAAGCTCGCTTGTGCTGCGCTGATGTCCAATGGAAGCTCAAGAGTCAACAGGAAAGTCCAAAGCAAATTCAACTGATCATTAAAAAGTTCAAGCAAAACTCAGGGAAAGCTCGCGCAAAAGTAGTTTCCCGTGGCGTGAGCGTCGTGGTGAGTTCGGTGCTAGTTTTTGTCTAGTTTTCTTCTACCAAAGCTCGTCAAAAGCTCGTCAAAAGCTCGCGCAAAGCTCGCCCAAAACTCGCTGAGCGGGCGCTTCCCTGGTTCCCCTAGCTCCTTGAGTTTCGCTTGAGCTTTCCTTTGAACCTGTGAGTTTTGCTTGGACTTTGCCTTGAACTTTTGAGTTTTGCTTGGACTTGCCTGGTGAGAGGTGAGTTTTGGTTGGACTTTTGAATGAGTTTGGACTTTTTTTAAATTTTATTTTTAAGTTATAGACCCCCTTGTCTTATCTAGCTATTTTACATCATAAACAAAGGAGAGCAGCGACCCAAGAAAAGTCACCCTCCAGCCGAGGCGCATGGTGAGCAAAAGCAAGCCTGTGGGGGCCGACATACACCGCTAATGGCAGGAGGTGAGGGCAGAGGGCCACTGCCGCTGACTGTCACGACTGCTTTGGGTGTTTGGGAGGAGGCGTTTCGCCTGATGTCTCCCGCCCACGTGTGTGGTTGGCAGCCAGGATTTGGCGTAGGCTGTCAGCAATGTGGTCGAATTTGGATTCGACACGGTTCTCGAAAGAGCATTGGCGCTTTTCCAAGATGTCAAAGCGCGCTTCCAGCTTGCCTAGCCTTTCATCATCTTGTTGCGGTGCTTGGGCAAGTGTGGCATGCGGTGACCACGAAGTGGTGCTGGTGGGATGGCTTTTGGCTGCCCGTGGTTTCTGTTTGCCCTTAGCCTGTCCCTTGGCTGCATTGTTGCCAGAGGTGATCTGCTGAAGAAGGATCTCACAAGTAGCTCCATCGGCGTCGACCGTGAATCTGGTGATGGATGGAAGCGTCTCTGAAGTCAAGATCCAGGTGTGCACTCCTGCAGCTCGGAAAGTCCGTGTAGGGACTGTGGCAACTCCCGTGGCTTCCAGCATCGATTTCACCACGCTGGATGGATCGGTTCCAGCAGGCCATCCTGATGTCTGAAAGGTCAGTCTGGGCACCACATGGCGATTCTCGTCTGTGAGCCTGCTGTCGCTGGGGAGGAGCGCCCTCCGTGCTTCAGCGATGTGCTTAGTCCAAATCCTGAGAGCTAGGCCTCTGCGAGTGACGACAAGGCCAGCCGCTCCTTGAATGCCCTTGGTTGTGATACGCATCTCTGCAAAGGCTTGCTGGGTGACATCCCAGAACCTGGGCAGGACTGTGGTGTCACCAGGCTCCTTGGTGTGCTCGATGAAGTCCCTGGTCAGGAGGGCTGTCTGGCCCGAGGTCTCCAAAAGGCTGGTGCGAGCAGAGTACGGTGCCTTCAGCATGCACTGTAGCTGTTGGTCCTGCTTTGCTGCTCCGGGGTGCCTTGAGGTACGGAGCCCATAGAAGGTGAGGGCATTTTCCAGGATGGGATGCAGTGTCATGATCTGCTGGCGAAAACTCTGAAGTGGGTGCTCCTTCAATTTCTCGAACTCTGCCTTTGGGAGGAGTCGAGAATCGAACTCCAGGACCAACTCGGCTATGGCAGCGGTTTGGAGCTTGAGCTTTGGTGCTGGCAATTTGTAAGAAACCTTGCCTTTGGCAACAAGCATGAGTGCCAATCTTTTGTATGCGGTTTTCGATGTGGGGTCCTCTGCCGTGATTTCATATGGCCCCTCGACGGACTGGTAGATGTTCGCTGGTTTGGACCCGTCGACCGTTGGCAAGAGCAGAGCCAGGTCGAGTTTGTCGGCTGCCTTGCAAAGTTCTGAAGCGTGTTGTTTGGTCGTCAGGATGACTCCAGCTCGTGCTTGTGACACCTGCAACCTGTCGGTTTGTGTCATGGGAGAGCCGTCTGTGCCCTGGAATGGGATGGGGGATTGCAGGATCAAATCTTCCCATCGTGCTTGAGACACCTTGGCAGGCTTCTTGGACCAGGGGTCCTGGAGCCACAGGGGGTCCTGCTTCTCACTGGGGGCTGCCGCTGCGGGCTGGCTGGGGCTGGATTTGTGCTGGGGGCTGGTATCCATGTCAGATGCCGCACCAGCGGCGGTGGTGTACTCTGGGAACTGGTTCCTGTGAACTCGCAGGAGAAGCCATCTCCTGAGAACCTGGGCGAGGACCTGCAGTCAAGCGCTTGCTCCTGTCTGCGTCCAGGAGTGGCAGCCACGGTTCCAGATTGCTTGCAGGCGGTCATAGTGCGGCGACGCACGAAGCTCCGCTTCCTGACACCTTGACAGGGAAGGAAGGCCAATGGCCAGTCGATCATAGAGCTCGGCAATGACCTGGTGCCCACACATGCCCTGAATGACTGCTTGGGATCGGCAGTGGAGAATGAATTAATTGACCACCATTGAAACCAAGTGCCGTGCGTAGGTGTTGGATCAACGGAAGGAGCCTGCCTGCTGTTTGAGGAGGAGATGTGAGGTAGAACAGTGCTTGTCCATTGCTTTTGTAACACTCGGCATGGAACCAGTGATTGTTGTCCTGGATAATCCAGTGGATGTGCTGGTATGCCTGGAGTGTCGGGGCCGGTGCATTGAGGTATGTCAACTCCTCAGTGATTGCGTCCCAAGTCGCGATTGGGCAAATCAACATGTCAGGCAGGAGTGATCTGGGTCTTTGCCTGCACTGGAATGCGGAGCAAAGCTCCCAGTAGCCCGTATCCCACTGCTGTGGAGGTGAATGTCAATGTGGATCTCACCTTGTTGCTTTTGCTGTGGTTGTGCACCAAGGTAATTGGTCGCACTGGTGTGACGGATGACATGAATCCACTCGTCCTGCTGAAAGATGATAGCATTGTGTGCAGTGAGTCTGTCCTGCCAGCAGGATCGCAAGAGGCCCTGAATGTCAAGTTGCCAAGGCAGAATAGCATGGAGGCCAAAGAGCACTGTAAGCAGAGCATGGGGCACTGCGATGGCGTTTCCCACGATGTGGAAAGCTTCGCCCAGCTTAGCCGGGATGGTTTGGTCTTCCGTTGCTCCGAGAAGTGTGATGAAAGTGGCTGGATCAAAGAAAGCGAAACCACCTGGGAGCATTTGTAAGCAGGCATAAATGCCCTTGGAAGCCAAGTGCTTGCTGCTGAGGTTGTGCTGCTCAGAGTAAGCCGCACAAAGAGTGGGCATTGGATCAGTTTCAGCAGGGAGCCGAGCCAAAAAGCACTTGTTGAGGTGTGGGAGAAGGTCCCAAGCACCTTCGTTTGGCTGGTGGCAAGAGAGCGGCATCAGCATAGAAGGTCTTCTCGGAGTCACTCAGGATCATCTGATTGAGCCAAGTCCTGGGCAGGTGAAAACGATATGCGTCATCAGTCCACCCTGGTCTGGGTGAAATGGAAGGGACAATGGCAAAATCGAAGAGCTGGGCTTTAATGTCGGCTCGAACCCACACAGCCAGCCATCGGCTGCGAGTGTGAGGGGACAGGAGATGCAATGGCACAATCTTATTCCAAACTTGCTTAAAACCCATGGTCACAGCAAGTTGCATGACCACGGAAGCATGTGGATGGCTAGCGAACTCGTCAGCGCATTCTGCGAAAATGGCGATCGGCTGGCAGCAAAGGCCCAGTTGCAATCCGTCGATGAAAGCCATGCCATTGTCCGATTCGAGTCCGCGTCCAACACCTCCCTTAGACCAACTCTGGCATGGAGGACTCATGGTTTGTGCAGCGTTGACTTGAGACTGGCAAAGATTTACCAGTGACAGGTCTCCAACCATACCCTTCATCTGGATGTGGTCACATGGGTTCCAGCTCCCAAAAGGAGGGACAGGGCAGACCAACGATGGTTCACCGAAATGAGCCTCCCACACCGAACTGACCTCGGTTGCAGCATCCACGGAGACCTGTTGGCCGAGCACGAAATTGGTGCCCGACTTTCCCAACCATTGAACAGCTTGTTTCCACCCAGAAAAAGCTCCGGCGAACTGGTGAAGAAAGCTCCACGCCATGTCCGGGACAAATTCTGGTCGAATACCTAGGGCAACCCCCTCACTGAACTCCAGCATGTCCTTAGTGCAGTTCACAACAAGGCCCACGCAGGTGAAGTGAGCTCCAGTGAACAGATTGATCGGTCTATCACCCAAACGCGGAAGACGCAGCTTGGAGATGTAATCGTCACCTGAGTCCACAAAGCCCTGACCCGGTACGAAGCGGAAAAGCCGAGCAACCACTTCATCACCTTGTATATCGAGGGCCTCAGCCGACAACAATGTCCTGTCACCAAGGGCAATGCTCCAGCTAGGAGAGTGCAGTGCCTCTGACAGGTCACGAAGTCGGGGCCCAAAGGGGGCGGAGATCGAAGCCAGCTTCGCGCTATCCATGGCACAGGACCTAAGGGGAAACACGAAGTTCAAAGGTACCGCACCTAGGCCAGGACACGGGGTGCGTATCCCTTGTGGACACCACCCTGGATTCACGGGAATCCCAAAGTGGCCACGGAGGGGCCGATCCCCACCAGCCGCAGGCCTTTGGAGCCAGACAGCTCTATATTATATATATATTATATATATATATATATATATTGAGCTTGGCAGCTTGGCATACATTTTGAATCATTTTGAATGGCCTTGCACTCCCATATTTCAGCGGGGCACCATCTCTTCGAACCTCATTTAATGTCTAGAGTCAGTGGCAATATACGTTTCAACCCACCTTCATTGAAGGCATTCGTGCCATCATTCAGCTTTCTGCATGTCGTGGCCGCTTGTGGCTTCCGGTCCCGCCTGCTCCGACCTCCCACGACCGCCCATCACTCGGCCGTCCTCCTTCACTGCGAGCTGCAGCTCAGCGGAGTTAGCATCTGTCAGGGCCCGCCGGAGCGCTTGGGCTTCGGCGGGGTCCTCTTAAAATCACATTTTGGGACGCCAAATGACATGGAAGTGAATAACAGAAGTGAATAACATTGAATAACAGGAACTCAAAGATTTGGTCAAGGCCATGAATGCGAGTCATTCATTCGGCCAGTCGAGTCACGTATTGTGAGAGACACTTAAATCTGCAGCGTGTTTGCTGATGATATCTGCGGGTTAATTTGAAGGTCATCGGGAGTACCACTAAAAAAACATCAGATCACAACTCTGCTTTGAGTCTAAATCAGCATTGAGCATTGCATCCTTTGACTACAATACTTTGCAACCCGTCCCAACACCCCTCCATCCAATCTTTCTTCCGTCCTGGGTTTCACCACCGGTCCATTCAAAGTGCAAAGTGCGAGTCTTCGCGCTGGTCGCGAGCTCCAGCGTCGGGCGCCAGATCTTTTTTGGGCGAAAGGCGTCAATCTCATCTTGTCGTTGGACACAGAATCCCAAGGCCGGTGTTTGGCAGGGGCCATACCTCGAGAAGGACATGCTGCGCAAAAAATGAGCGCTTGATCCAAGAACATCAGGACACTGTGGTAAGAGGTGCCTCTTTTATGTTGCTTCTGGGCGGCCTACTAGATCAGCTCATCGGCATCTTTGTGGCTTGAGAAGGTTGGGAGTCCCGTTGCAAGACAGGAAGGCGGTGCTGAATCAATCTAGGCCGGAGCGGCACCCCAATGGGTCACAGCTTTTGTGAAGTGACAATACCAAGTCAGGAGGTGAGATTCAATCACCTAAAAAAAGGACCTCCAGCTCAGGCATGCAATGCAACACACTGTTCTTTTTCTGCAAAGCTTAAAGAACTACTAGTTACTAATGTAATGATAATATAATGATAATGACTCTGAACTCAACGGTGCCAAAGCATACTGTGCTTCCCAAAGAACATTCTGAAATCATGCCAGCGGACGTGATGGAGGGCTTGAGACCTTTCCCTCGTCTGGCCAGGGGTGTGTTTCGCAAATGTCGCGTCAGCAGGCGACTGAAAGCAATTCCTGCATGTGGCTGCAAAAATCGATGAACGACCAATGAATGAAAAACCTTCCAGCAATGGCTGCCCATTGCGGTTGCACAAGCTTTGGAGGTGAAAAGGCCGCTGGCAAAAACTCATCTTTTCCCGAAGTAGCAGTTTCCCCTTGCCTCTGGAAGGGCAACAACCTCGTTACCTAGTTGGTACCCCTTGAGTCCCAAGCGGGTCCTACACGTAAGTCGAGCTCTTGCCGTGTATCCACTCCCATGGCAATATCTGCATTGGGCCGCCCCAGAGCTTGAAAGGAGGCACTCACCTGGACCAAGGCAACACGCTTTGGAGCGCCGGAGTGGTTTGTGCTCTGTGAGCAGGCAACATGTGGGAACATCCAATAAGACAAAATAAGAAACACCTGCCTGTAAGTTACTTTAAGCGATAACAGTTTATATTGACATATTTTTGTTTGTCCGAAATAGTAGTAGCAATATTAGCAACACATGTCAACAATAGAAAACAACAGAGAACGCATGTCTGATTGATACAATACAACCAAAACAATTCATGCACAACCAACATTGTAAATACATGTCTTCATGCAAAACCTGGAGTCTATATAATATCAACACCTCAACCGTGACATTCAACGTTTGTGAACCCCTTTCACCTCATCCTTTGTGAGGGCCGAGAAAATCGCACGATGGATCTTTGTCTCATCGAAGAACTCCTTGCAAAGCGCGATGACTTCGAAGCCGATGTTCTCACCTTCGCGATCCTCAAAATTCTGAGACTTGAGGCGATTGGACAATTCTACCCGGAAACTAGCGGACAGAGTCACACAATTATTGCCCTTCACATGAGGTGTTTAGTTGACTTGTAGCTGCACAACGGCACAAAGACATGTTTGTTCTGCTCTGTTTCCAAGTAACAAAATTAGTTGCAGGCTTAGCATTGCTCCTGTGGACACTAGCCAACACTGGCCTTATCATGGTTTGGCAAACGGCTGCAATGTTGCAATAAACTTGAACAGAAAAACGCAACACAGCATCCGGATGAGGCATTCACAAATGACTGCCAGGAAGCCCAGAAACCAAACTATATACTTCAGACCTGCACCTAAAGACACCCGAAAGCTGACCTGTTTCAGTCATTTCTGTTGCTCAACTCACTGGACGAGCATCAGCATCCAACCAAAGGCACAGCTGCGATGAGTCTTTGGCTAAGTCCTCGCAGGGGGAGGACTAAATTAAGCCCAAAGGATTCACCAACGTATGATCCCGCAACGCCCCCAGAAGGATGCTAGATATCCACTCAGGATCAACTAAGTATAGTAATCGGCCGTGAAGAACCGAAAGCTCAACTACAGCGAGAAGCTGCCGAGCACTTTTCAGAATTTAGGTTGATTGAAATGGTTTGCCCAAATGGAAATAAAGAAAATCCAAGCACACAACCAGCCAAAGAGGTCGGTCTAGTGATGCTCCTCTTTCTGGCTGGTTCCAAGCAGGGATGGTCTCTTCCCCAAACATGTAGTTTTCGATCCATGGACCTTCTGGAACTCATCAATCTGATGCCAGTAGAAGCCATGTCATAAACACCAGGAGGTGAACCACCAGCCTCACCACACACACGCACCAAACCTACAGGCTCCCGGCCTTCAAGTGCTCTCCCACGCGCACCTTGCGCGCGCTCTCTGTGAAGACCTTCACCACTGGAGCGGAGTAAACCTCCACCAAATCCTCAGGTGAAAACCAATGTTGTCTATGTTCTTTGATGAGTGTAGAGGCGATTTGCCCACAATTTGGGCATGCGTGAACCTGGGGAGTCCTTCCTCACGGGACCTGTTTTTGCAAGTCGCAATTTCTCAGGCCAATGTCATCCATAGCGGTCGCCATGGGGATATCAGGCTGCTATTCACCTCCCACTGACATCAGAAGTATTGGGTATGTTCGGCTACAAACACCATTTGATTCATTCAACTCGCAAACTGGATGCAGTGCATATGCTGTCATTGGCACTTGTGGTGCGTAGGAAGAGTTCTTCATTGTATGTCAATGTATTTGGTCAGCCAGCGCCGAAGAAGGACTTGATATCTTGATATTCTGGCTTCTGGAGGGGCAAGGACAAGGACCCGGACCATGTGTATATACATGTGTAATGGTATTGGTGCTGTAATTGCTACACATACAAGTACTGCACAAGATTCCGATAGATTCCACTCATAGCCACTGTGCAGCCAGAAATCATTGGAGAGTTGTCCATCGAACTCCAGCTGAAAAATGTGCCCAATGACCGAAGTCATTGTGATCACGCTCCGCTGCCCTGTGGGGGGAAACACCTCAGCCACGTGACCATGTGGTTCACGTCTGGTTTCGAGGACTGTGTGAGGGTGCATCGGGGAGTATAGAAAACAATGCCTTGGAGTGTCCGCCCATACACCTATCCTCCACTAGAACCCAGTATGGGTGGTGAGATAAGTATGACAAACTGAGCGGCGATTACTTTGACTGGTAGAGAACACTCTGCGAGTGCCTTGACAACAAGAACAATTGCAGGCTGGTCAATTTGATCAACCATGGATAATTGTTGTAGGCCAGGCTGAAGACCTGTGGGTGCCTTGGCCAAATAGGAACCCGATAAACCAATGAACTGTAATGCAACTTTCAATGAAAGGGATGATCCCGCGACATCCCACGTCTCACCTTCCTTTCAGTTGCTGCACACCCTCCAATCACACCGTTAGATGATGCCATAAAAGATCAACCAATTGACTCAATTGACAACTATTTTCGTAGATACTGTGGGCCGGTCATATCCATGTGCCATTACAAACACTTGTTGCATGTACTTTCGAGAATCAACATGTCTACATATCGCCCCAAACGTCACCGGCTTGGTATTGGGAACACTATCTTCCAGACGATCCTTTGGTCCAAGTGTCGGGTGGGGAGAGTGCCGGACACTTGGACAAGCTCTCTGGGAACCATGGACATCCACTCAAATTGTTACTAATTAGGTTGGAGGCCATTGCTAGTAGGTTGGAGGCCATGGACATCCACTCAATTTGACCACACCAGGCAAGAACGGGGTTTACGCGCCTGGGATCAAAGGCTGCACCATTCTTTTCGGGTCAGGTCACAGCTTCGTCAAACCATCTCAGACTCCCACCATTTCAGCTTTCTCTGCGATCTTTTTCAACCAGCCGGGCCACTGCCACGAACTCCAGCACTGGGCAGGCGGCAGCCAAGCCCCGGCGCTCGCGCACGCGGTCGCCCCGGCCTTCTCCACACAAACATTCGGCCACCAGGCGCGCCACGCTGGGCTTTTCCGCAACCATGAGGACCTTCCATGAAACTGTCGGGGGGGCAGGTGGAACCATTAAATCATCCAGAACAAACCGATTGGGTCTTGCACAAAGCTACCTGGGTGAGCCCCACAGAATAGATTGCGCCTGCGGCAAACCTTCTCTCCAACGATCTCGATCCTCTTGCTGCTTCGCATACACCTCAAGCAAGCTACAGCTACGAATCACATGACTGCTAAACCTCAAGCTGGAAGGACCACTGGGTGGCCACCACCAGGCCTCGGGATGCTGGGCCAAGTAGGAGAAGTAGGCCTCACCAAGGTCGAACTGTTGAGGTGTCTTGGACAATAATAATGGATCTGTATTTTGTATCTTGTTGATTGTAGGGGATATTTTTGATTGTACGGTGACAAGTCTCTTGCAGGATTGAATTGAATCCCTTGAGCAAAACTCGCTCAAGTAGGCAAAGGGCATCTGCCCATATCCTTTCTTGTGGACCATCTTCTATCTGTACTGTAGATATCTTCAACAAACAATGTACAATCTCACCAACTTCTAGTCTACTACCCTGAGAACACACACACACACATATATATATATATATCAAAGCATCAACGAGCCTCCATTTGCACCGTGCGAACCTCGGGCTCCTCTCAACCTCCGCGCCTTGGGATCCTTCTTCTTCAACCCCCAGGCCATCTCCGTGGTGCCCGCAGCGCCCTCGGCAGCGCCCTCGGCAGCGCCCTCGGCAGCGCCCTCGGC